CTCCCTCTTCCGGCCTCTGTGCCTCCATTCCACGTTTCTTGCAAGCGTTCATTTTCAACCTTCAGCAACATCCTGCACGCTACTTCTGCAACTTTTTAAATTTCCCTCATCATATTCGGGATTCTCGAGACATGTTCCACCTCCTCCTCCTACGCAAATATCATCTCATCGCTCTTTTCTCCTCCTCTCAATCCCTCAAGTTTTCTGCTCGGCCATCGATTGTCCTCCAAACTTTTTGATGTTAAAATTTTAAAAAAAAAAAATGCGCCCGGCACAAATAACGATGTTACCTCTCCCCTATGCTCAGCCAGTTTTGACATCCTCTTAAGCATATTTTACAATTTTGTTTTTTTTTGGGATGTCCGTTGCAGCCCCGCAACTGCTACTGCTTCTGCTCCTGCTGCTGCTAGTACTACTTCCTTAACATCATCCTTCCTGACAGACAGCTCCGTCGTGTACTATACATTTTTCTCACTTTCAAAAATTTCTACTCCCAATAAACTCCGCTTACTAGTTCATCCTCGAAACAGCTACTAGAATCCCTCACTGATTGAACAGTGGTGTCATTTTTATCTTCCTTCATTTCATGGTTTTTTGACCAGTGTTGCTTCCCCCAGTGGTCAGTCTTCTGGCGATCCTGACGTTCGTTTCATCGAAGAATAGCTACGCACTGCAGGGATTTGCGTTCGGAGCGCTTTTCATTGGTGTAATCGACAAATCTGTCGTTTTATCCCTTCATTTTGGAGGTTGTTTTGACCAGTGGTTACTACCTGTTGGTCAACCCTTTGACGAACCTGACGTTTTTTTCATTTGATTTTGTTAAAATCACGCAAAGCTGGTTAGCCACCGAGGTCATCTGAAATGTCGATATGAAGCTTCGATGGTACCAAGATGCGCATAGACGGATCCAGGACGGACTCCTCGGGGGTGGGGCGGGGCGATGACAGGTGGGGGTAGTAGGACTCCTGGGAGAGGGGGAGGGAGAGTGGGAAGGGGAGTTCCGTTCTACTCTGAAACTATGCAAAAACTAGGAATAATGTTGTAACAGTGCTAATTCGAGTTACTTTAGACTTTAGTTCACTTTTAGTTTTAGACCCGGACTTTTGCAGCACTGGTGCCTGTGTCACCTTAAGGGGGAGGGTGGGAGAAGGGGAAAGACTCATCAACTCCCTCTCCTCCTCTCCTCCTGAATCCACCTATGGAGGTGCATCCTCACACCAGGCATAACTACCAACACGCACTTTGAGTCAAACATTTCCAGTTTGCTTTTGACATCCTTTTTACACCACCTCCTTCCCTTTCCTTCTTTCTCCCCTCCCCCACCCCCTCCCCTCCCTTCTTCAACTTTGGTTTGTTTTGAAACACCCTTGATGTGTATGGGGCCTCTTCTCGAACGTTTTTGCTTCCACTCATTATGAAAGGCTTTATCGCCGCTGTTACTACAGCGGCCGGATCGAACCCGCGATCTGCAACCTGAGGGTAGCGTTACTTACCATTGCGCCATGCCTGTGTAATTCAGGAATTCCTTGCTTGTGGGGGTTCGGCATTGTGTATCGATTAAATTTCATTAAATAATTCAAAACTGTGCGCAATGTGAATGAATGTTTGTTTTAATGTTCTCCCCTGGCATTTTTCCAAATGGACTCAACTGAGAATCGTTAAGTACAAGAAGAGAGGTGGGAGGGAGGGAGGCCTTTTCACAGGTCTTATTTCACAACGATCGGGCTGGAGATTGTCTCTCGCTGAAGGATACCTCAGCCCTGGAAAAATAGCATGACGAATTGCCATCTGTTGCACTTCAGCGGCAGCAGCAGTAGCAGAGACTCCTCGAATTGAGGATTTGTACCTAGCTGCGATTGTAGCCATTTAATAACACCTGCATACTTTCATCCTTTAAAAATCCATAGGGCTTCTTAAGTAATCCAGGAAAATGATAGAAAAACGAAAATTAAAGGATGGGGGAGGGGGAGGAAAGGGTGGGGTG